GTGTCATTTATTAAAGCATTCAGGGGGCTTTTCTTTGGCGTTTGCTTGCAAACTCACAAAGGCCGAGCTGCTGTTTGGGGGTCTTTTCTGATGGAAAAAGGGCTCGGAGACCCCCGGCACAAAAGAAATCCTGGCAGTGCTTTCAATGGCCGGGACTCAATGAGGGGGACCCTGCGCGCAGCGGGCGGGGGCGAGGGGCCGCCCGGTGCTGCCTGAAAGGCAGGCCTGAATGTAATGGGGAGATCGGCGTTTATTTGTTGGGATCACATTTAATTAGCTTAGTACAACCCTTGAAAGACAAAGGGACCTCAATCTGGATCCAATCTGAAGCTCGTTTGGAGAGCGAGGGCTCCTGGAAAAGTCAAAAGAGAGAAAGGAGAAAGAAAAGGGAGGCTGGGAGAGAAAGGGGCCGGGGGCCCAGCCAGGTGACTGGCACGCGTGAAACAAGGGGGCCTTTTGGGCACAAGGCAGGGCTCAAAAGGGAGGGAGGAAAATAGCCTCTTCCTCAGGTTTTACCTACTTCAACCCTCTGAAGGGGCCGGGGCTGAAAAGCCTCAATAGGGGCTAAGGGGGCTGCAAAGCAAACAGCGGCGCTGGAGAGGGGCTGCGGCGCTGCGAGGCAGCAGTTGGCAGCACTCGGTTATGGGAATGCACCCAAATGTTCCCCGTGTCCCCAGCGCCCGGGGATGGGGACGGGGACAGGAGGGGGATGGGGACACGCAGCCCTCCGTGCTGCCCCGTGGCCGTGCGATGGGGCCATCCGGGGGGTGTCCCTGGGGGTGCCCGCCTTGTGCTGGGCAGCCACGTGTGTCCCCCACCTCTCTTCCCCCATAGGGATCTCCAAAGTGGCCGTCCCCAAAGCGCTGCGTCTGTGGGATGGAGCTGAGCAGCCTCACCGTGCCATCACTCAGCCTTTCCTCTGGGTGGGTTCGGGGTGTCCCCGAGCAGTGCCAGCTCTGGTTGGGTCCTGAGGGGCTCAGAGAGCAGAGACCCTCCAGCACAACGCTCGAAGCTGGGCTGATTGCACTGCTTGAAGGAGCTTCAGGGCATCCTTCGCCTCCATTTCTCTCTGTGGGAGGCAGCGGAGCTGTGGAGGGAGGTGCTGAGTGCTCTCCCTGCTGCTTTCGCTTCATTTCTTGTCTCTTTTTTTTTCCTTTTTTTTTTTTTTTTTTTTTTAAGTAGTAACTCCTGGATTATTTTGATGAGGTCACGGTACACAAAAGCAAACAGGGAAGGAAAGAGCCCGTCTGTGAGCTCCCGGCTTCATCCCAGCGCTCAGCACAGCTCAGGTGGCTGCAGATGAAGGATGATTGTGGCACATCACGAGGCTGCTGGGGAGTGGGACTCTGCAGCCAACCCCACCAGAGCTGCCCCAGAACAAGGAGCGTGTATGAACCCCATCCCAGGTCTGGGTGCTGAGGGTGCTCCCCATGGATCGAGGTTACAGGAAGGAGAAAAGAGGGTTTGGGACTGGAGAAGAGGGAAAATCACTGCCTGTGTTCTCCCCTCTGGCTGTGAGTTGAGGACAGGGCAGTCGTGTCCCACTGCTGTCTCTCCTGCTGGTTTCACCAGCACCGCAACATCACGCCATGCATCCCACCACCACCTCTCCATCCCACCACCACATCCTTCACCCCATCAACATCTCCTGCACCCCACCTGTACCCCCTCACCCCTCCTTCATCCCATCACGACGTTCTGCATCTCACCACCCTCTCACCCACGTTCCACCTCCACGTGCCATGGTTGGCCGTGAGCAGGGTTGGACTGTGGGACCACGCGGTGCAGGCAGGGATGGGTGCCAACAGCAGTGAGACCTCATCAGCCCCAAAGCCTTTGTCGTCCCCATTCTCTGCAAAACAAACAAGAGTGACGGCCTCTGCTCCCCGCAGGACCAACTTCACGTTCCCTGTCCAGTGGCCCCAGCACTGGGAGCAGCTCTGGGCACGGAGTGCTGAGTGATGGCTCGCACAAAGGGACGGCACTGCTAATCCCCACCCTGCAGCACCTGCACCCGGCCGGCCGGGATTAGAGGGAGCGCGGAGATCAGAGGCTGCTTTAGAGCGGCCTTGAAATGGGATTTCCTCAAGTGATAAGGGGAAGGGTGGGAAGATGTGCCGAGGTCACAGTACCTGCCCCCTGCACCTCACTGTGCACCTTTGGGTCACTGAGCCACCGAGCTGCAGTGGGAAAACGGCTCTGGGTGCAGGAAAGCAAGGCTGGAGCAGCCACCCCTCCCACCCACCTTCCTGCAGGCACAGCGCCGCTCCGATCGATGCCCCGTTTGGTGCTCAAGCAAAAAATGAAGTTCTGTGCCTGCTGTCTGCTTCAATCATCATTCCAGTGCAACTCGTGATGGCCACGGTGCAGTTCGTTCTGGAATCATGCAAAATTAAAGCAGGTGTTTTAGTAGCCTGCCTTCTGCTCTCAAAATAGCCCCACGCCCATCGAAGTGCCCAATATAGAGCAGCATCTGCGTGACTGCGAACCCAGGGATGCCTCAGCAGCAGCCAAAGCTCTGAGCTCTGCCCAGCGCCTCCCGCTCCCAAACCTTCCGCCCACAGCACGGTGCAGAACCCCCTTCCTTCACGAGAATCCCATCAGAGCTTAAATCCACTTCATTTTGGGGATTACAGCTGTGCAAAGCCGAGCAGGAGGCTGCTCCTCTCCTGGAGGAGCCATGGAGGCACCACAGCAGCTCCCAGGCTGCAGGGCTCATCTCAGCCACAGACCTCAGAGCAACAGGTGCTGCCATGGGAGGGACCTCCAGCACACAAGGGTGTCCCAGCACATCAGGGACCTACGGTCACATTGAGGATCTCCCATCGCATCCGGGTTCTCACACCAATTGCTGTTCTCCCATCGCAACCAAGCTCTCCTATCACACTGGGATTCTCCCATTGCGTTGAGGTTCTCCCGTCCCATTGCAGCCAGTATCAGCACTCACAGCCCTGCGCCCCACGGAGGTGATGGGGCACCCAGCAGCTCCAGCCCCAGTTCTTTGCAGAGCAGAGGTTCAACGGCTGCAGTCCCTCCGCCCCAAGCGGGCAGCGGTAATGGAAAACAAATTGCTGAAGTTGGGAACATTTTGAGCACTTTAGCCTGCCAGGACACCAGACTGCTGATGAAAACCCAGCTTTGCAGGCACCATCTTAATGACAGGCCAAATTTCAAAGCCTTGCAAACTATTTCTTTCGCCGCCCCACCCCCTCAATAAAAGGTTGCATCAGAAAGAGATATTTCCATAATTTATAGTATGGGTATTTCACTGGGGAGACTCTCTAATCTGTACTTACAGATACATTTAAGAAAATGCATCCTCCCACAATCCTGCGCCATTTACGACTATTGGCACAATCTGTAATACTCAGTCTTCAATTAAGGGACACCTTAGGGTTCATTATCACACAATTGCTCCCTGTGAACCATGCCAAATGCTGTTTTGGCACAGAGCTTGGAAGATGAATTAGAAGGAAGTCTTCTCGGTAATGCCCGCTCCCAATTCCCATCAGCAGCCCCGCGCCCTCCTCCAGCCCTTTTTTCCCCCCTCTCCCCTCTTTCCGAGTGGCTTTTACCATCCCATCGCTCACTGTCTCCCTCGATTCTCTGGAGGTACATTGAGAGACTCCTCAGCTCTCTTTTCTTCCGGCTCTCAGCCCTGCAGATGGGATCGGCGCTCCCTCCCCGCCCCACGCAGCACAGCACACGCAGTCCTTCGCCCACAAGCCGCCTTGTGGAGATTTTATTATATAGAGTGTAAAATGCAACTGTCAGTCAAATAAAAAGAACATTTTGTGTCGTTTTTTTTTTTTTTCTTTTTTTTTTGTTTTGACTCCATTTTAAACCCCGCGCTCAGCATCGCCCGGCGCTGGTTTCTTTATAGTTAGACATCTCAAGCATAAGGGAAAACAAGGATAGAACCCGAGAACGGTAACTTGGGTACAATGCAGAAGGGAACGTCCTGCAGGGAACTCCAAAGGCAAAAAATAGCTTCGATTCTGCTCTTCCTTTAAAAATACAGTTATCTGTACAAGGAACTACAGCCGACATCGCAAATCATAGCATCTCTTTTATTAAATCAACATCATTTAGCGCGTACTGAGGTTAATACTAGATTCATTTCTCTCTCTAGGCAATCTGACAATATTAGATAGGAAAATATTTAAAAGGAACAACAACAACAACAAAAAAAAAAAAGCCAAAATAAAAACAAAACTGAAACAAAACCACCTTGGAATTAAAAAATAGTTTTACTACCTCTGATAGGGCTTTACGCTTCCACAGTGTTTGTTAAAAGGTACTCATAATAGCAGATCCATTTTAATATTAAAAATAACAGTATTTATATTTCTGAGAGCATAGAGGAAGGTTTTTTTTTTCTTTTTCTTTTTTTTTTTTTTCTTTTTTTCTTTTTCAAACGAGCTTGGAGGTCTCAGATCCACCAATGCAGCTGTGGCAATGGGATGGGGAGGAGGAGGCTTCCAAAAAGCCACCCGTTTTCCTGTTCCCCCTCCTCAGAGCCCAGCAGTGACCCGAGGGCACAGCACAGAACTCACATCATTATTACAATACACAGCACTGCTCTTCCTTACAAAAAAAAAAAAAAAAAAAAAAAAAAAAGCAATAAAAATCAAAGATGCAAGAAAACGAGAAGTAAAACATTTAATGAATTTACATATTTAAGAATATTTAAATACTGTTTAAAATCCTTTTTTTTTTTTTTTTGGTTTTTCCTCTTTTTTCAATTAGGATTCGTTACACACCTCCTAAGACTTCCAAGCCACTCTTTCTGCTGCGACAGAAAAGGTTCCAAAATGAAAAGGAGAGGAGAGGGGGGGGAAGAAAAAAGAAAGAAAGAAAGAAAAAAAAAAAAACACCCAACCAACCCCAGCTGGAGAACAGCGGCCGCACGCGTTGAAATGTCACAGCTCCAATGTGCACTGCTGGAGCTGCAGCTCCCCCGGCTCCGTCCAAAGGGGATCCCGGAGGGTTTTGTGTGTGTTTATGGTTTTTTTTTTTTTTTTTTTGCTGTTTTGTATAAATTTAGAAACAAAATTACCAGCATGTCCGTAAGTTTAGTACGTTACTAATTGCTCCTGATTCTTAGAAAAGTTCAGTATGGATTATCCTACAGCTAGTGTTTCACAAACAAACAGAAAAGTCTTCATCAAAACGTTGCAAATCTAGAAACCTCTGTTACAAAAAGGTTTTCTTCCACAATGATTCCGAGGGAGAAACCAAATAGCGACGATGGCCACGAGGACGTTGTTCTACTGCTCCTGTGGGCAGAGGGACAGCAGGACGTCACCGGGCAGCACCCAACACCCCCAGTGCCAATCATCCCCCGTGCTCTGTGCTGTGCTGCATCCCATCCCGTGGGCTCTCCCTTCTGCAGTGCCACGTTCAGTGACAGCAGCACACAGAGCTCCTTTTCATCGCTGTTCCAGGGCTGTGCTCCTCCAGCACCCGCAGCCCCAGCAGCTCAGCTCGCTGCAGAGATGTGTCCCACCCCCCACATCCCTGCTCGTGCTCTTTGCTGAATGCTAACACGTTCCCTTTGCAAACCCAGAGCTCAGGATAAACCACCCAGACCCCCACAGCCAGAGGCAAGGTTCTGCTTTTCCCCTCTCTATCAGGGCAGGTGCTCCCCAGGCATGCCCCTACCCTAGCACAAAGCTTGCAAGAGAAAAGGCAAACTCTGCACAACAGATCAGTGCTGCTCTATCCTGCCAGCCTAAAGCCATCTTCACTTTGCTGAAATCCCACCAACAGCCACAGAACACGTTGGGGACCGTGAGCAAAGCCCTTAGGAAAATAAACCAACAACCTCCCAGTTCTCCCCACAAATCCACCCTGCACAGGGAAGTCAGTCTGATGCTGAGATAATGCAATGGCAGCACCGAGCAACTTCGGACTTCTTCAGCCACAAAACATCTCTGTGCTTCACTGCATGACTCCAAAGCTTTCCCCACACCCAGGCAAAGCCCAGCACACCCAGCTCCCCCAGGGGAACAGCAGAGGGTGAATACACACCTGGCTGTGGGCCTGCGCCTGCCCTAGTGTCTGCCCATAGTAGGCAGCCTGCTGTCTGTAATACTCTGCCCAGGCCATCGTGTAGTCCGGCTGGGAGCTTGCCTGAGAAGCAGCGCTGGCAGCATGACCTGCAGGAAAGAGAAGGGGAAAGGGAGAGATGAGCAGTTGGGTAAGATGAAACCCAGGCTGCCAAATGCAAATCCAGAAGCTGGCACCACACGCCTCTTAATGGAGCGGAGGAAGGCAGGGCCACGACTGTCCACACACCTGTGTGCAGAGCATTCCTACCTTTTTGACAACCCAGCTTCAACTTTCTGGGTTTTGTTTTGTCAGCATCGATTCTCGGTGTGTGCAATGCTTCCCCAGCACGGACACGGGCACTGCTGTGCACTGAAGCTCAGCAGGAACAGCCCTCCTGAGGCCCAGCAGCAGGCACCTCGACAGCTTCCAGTGGAAGAACTACCATGCACCATCACCAACTGCAGGGACCAGAGGGAATTGCAGAGGACTGGAAGCTAATGATGGCAGGGGATGGAGACGCAAGTCATCGGATTAGAGTGAACTCTGTAACAAGAGTTTCCTTAATCTCCAACAACCCTGTTTCACTCACTCTGTTTTTTGTAATATTCCTCCCATGCTTTGCTGTAATCGGGATGGCTGTTCTGCTGCTGGCTCTGTTGGCCTGTGCAAAGATGACAATAAGGGGCATGTCAATATGGAACAGGTGACAGTTTCCAGCTAGTGACATCTACCTCTCCACTAGACAGGCCCTGGCTCTACCTCAGTTGCCTGGACTCTATGCTTCAGCTTCCACATTTCTACTGTGTTGGGCATTCTCAATTTGGGGAACGCCAAGGAAAGACTCAAGTTGCTGATTCTGTCTCACCTGAGTGCTGCTGAAGGGCATGAAGTCAAATTCCATCCCTCCCCCTCTACTTTGTCAGGACTTGCTCGAGGCCAAGCACGCTGTTTGGGAGCTGCTAGCTCTGCACATCAACCCCCCAAAGCTGTCAGCCTGTTCACCCCAAGTACAGGGACCCAGGGCTCAAACCCTAATAGCAGAGCCCTGTCACCTCAACCTCCAGCCACAGAGCTGCCATGGATACAACCGCATCTGCAGTCACCTGCATCTGCACCCCCTGCTCTTGCAGCAGGACACATCCCAAGGAGTCCTGGTGGCAATATCCACCCATACAACGTGGTCAGCACTCAGCAAGCCACCAGTCCCAACACCACCCCATGCAGCAGCATCTGTGAAGCCCTCTGAGCAGCCATGGCTGGCTCTGGGATCCTGCACTGCACTAAGAACCATAGGGACAGACCACAGAGCCCGAAGCCTGCCTGCACCTAGCACTAATCTCCCTCCTTCAAACACTAAGATGTGGTGAAGCCAGTGCGTCTAAGTGTTGTTGCAAGGGAGAGTCCAACATGCTGGCTGCAGAGGCCGCAGTTAGAGCAAAGAGCCCTCAGCCAGACATGCAGCAAACAAACCAACCAACCCTGAACAGAAAATATAGCAATCAGAAAACTGCAGAGGAAGGCAGGCACGGTGAAAGCACAAGCTGCTGCACGCACAGCAGGCAAGGACAGCACACACACACACACAGGGGAGCTTTCACAGCCCATCCAAGGCCCTCGGCTTCATCTCAGAGGGCTCTGAAGTGGGGGGAGAGGGGGAACGTAATGCAGTGTGAGTGTGAAGTGGGTGGAGGGAACAGGGCAGCAGTGTCCTGTCCAGGGGCATAAAAGCAGGTTAAAAGACTTGACCAACGCTACAAGTCAGGACCTTTTCTGGCAGAGGTCAAGGCTGCCTCAACTGTCCACCTGCTAATGCCAACAAAGGACCTCCTTCAATGCCTTTTCTTCTCGGAGAATTACAGTCCGCAGCGGGCTGAAAGGACACGCAGCTAAATGCATTTCACGGCAAAATGTTTCTCTGGCCAGTTAATTTATTTAAGATGGGGGAAGTAATTAAAATCTGAATACATGTGTAGGGGTGGGGGCTGCCCCTCCTCCCACAAGGAGGGCACTCTGGGATCTGTCCCTGGGAGTCAGGGGACGGCTCTGCTGGGGAAAGCAGAGCCACAGGGCAGGGCCCCATCACCAGCCTGTTCTCCAATTAAAACTCACAGTGTAAAAACAGGTATTTACCTAGTTTCTTATAATAATCCTCCCGTGCCTTGGTAAACTACACCTGGCCTGACTGGGTACCATTGTGATCTGCAGCAGGAAAAGAAAGCAGTGAGGTCTGCTTAAAGCACAGCGTTATCTCGTCTGTCCTCTCTTTTTACAAAGACTGCCTTCAGTGTGCCTGCCTACAAACAGGAATATGGAGGACCCTAAGTAAAAATGAAACTAGTGAGCTGACGTTTTCCATCATGTTCAACAGCAGAAATTAAATATTTGTCCCCAGAACACATCTTAGTGGTACTAATCCCACACAGGGGAATGACCACTACAAGGCAGGATGCTTCACGGGTTCTGGAAACCACCAGAAATCTTACAAATGCACTGCAAAGCAGCTGCCAGTGGGACAAGCCACACTGCTGGTACTGGGGAATTCAAGGGATCTGGACTTCTGACTCCACTAAGCTCCAAGGCCAAGGACTGTGAACACAAGACACAGCTCACAGACATTACAAAAAGGGAGATTATTTCTCCCAGTGTCTGATGGGGTGGGAGAGAGGACACCTGAGGGAGGCAAGGAAGATGATAAATTTGTGAATTTCTAAAGGCATCTCTGAAGGCAATTAGAAAAGCATGTCTCATAAGCATTTATTCAAAGGCTTTACGTGAAGTTGAAAGTTTTTTTTTTTTTTTGTAGAGCTTTCCCTGCTACACTTCTTCCTGCTCTGCTTCTCAGGAAGCTTCAGTGCTCTTGGGAGAGCACAAGGAAGGATGTGAACAGTAATTTGTTCTCTTAAACAAGCTAGTGGGAAAATTCTCCTTTTCAGCATCATACTATTCCACTCCTGTGGGAACAAAAATTCTTTCTAAGCCCACCTATCCTGAAAGCACAATAGCTGCTGATTTTCTGCCTGTCTCCAGAGCTCTACAGAAGAGCTACAATTTTTAAACTGCAATTTCTGAGGAGCAGAAGCCCTCTCCCAAATACACTTTCTCAAAGTTTAACACAAAGCCCCCAGTCCCACGCGGGGTTTCTAGAAATGCATGATGTCAAAAACAGCGTTGAGGATTTCCAGATTTCAGATATGCACAATTTCATTTACATTAAATGTGATCTGTGTCACAGGGAATCACAAATGCAGTTGGCTGGCATTGTTATACCAGTTATTCTTCCATCTCAGGCACCTGAAGGAATTTAAACTGAACTTAACCACCTACTTCATTGCTGAACCAGTCAGAGCACTGAAAGGCATCTCAGTGCATCACACGAGCTTTGAGATTAACAAGTAGACTAGGAATCTGCTCAAAGCATCATTCAGATTGTTGAAGACAGGATACTGCTATTACTGACAGACATCATCACGACTGCACTACTTTAGTTATTCTGAAATGGGGAACCTCTCATCCCAACCTGATGAATTTTTAACAGTTTTGTGAGAAAGTGGACACTTTGAGCCCTGAAGAACAGTAGCCAGTTTGATTCACTGTGTCAGTCACCCAAAGCATTAAGACCAGTAGCAGAAGTGATCTGGGTTCAGCTTTTGAACTCATTACTGCAGATATTTGTGCACTGTCACTTTCATCTTAATGTTAATATCTGGCTGGTTGCATTCCATGCTTTTAGTGCTGCAGAAGCTGAGCAGTTATCAACTCCCAAAAGGAAGTAAGAGGACACTACTACAGCCACTGTGAATGAAGCAGGATAGGAGCCACGCTTATCTTCTCCATTTCTGCATCTATTTCCCAGCCTTTCTGTCAGTGTGGGAATTAGAAAAGAGCTCATAAAGAATATGTACCAAAAAAAAAAAAATCAGGAACTGATGAGTTAAAAAGCAGAGAGATGGAAGGGCTCACCACCAGACATGGTGTGCCTGTCAGGGAGAAGTGGGGATAGCAAGTGCTTGCCTGGAGAATCCTCACAAGAGAAAGCTTAAAGGCAGAAATGTTACGAAGTAAGTTTCTCCCTAAAGGGAGCAGAAACAAGCAGTTAAGTGCACAAAAAGCATTACTGATTTTGGTGTTCTTAGGCTTATTCCAAGCTCTAACACCACCGCACACAAATGGTCTTATGGATCAATCTGTGCCTAGTGGCAAAGGGAACACCAGCCTTTCTCAAACCCAGGCCCTAAACACTTACTTGGGACTTGCTGTCCAGGCTGCTGCCACGTCTGGTAGGTACTGCCCCAACCCTGCGTCATGAACGCCTGAGGACCACTGCAGAGGATAAAAAGGCATGCTGAAGCAGACAATAAAATACTTAACAGGAGATATGCATGAAGTCAGCCAAAGAAATAAATTATTACTTCTAGTTAGCAACTGCTGAGCAAACAGGTGAACACAGAACAGAAGGAAATGTGTAGGTGCAGCTGCTAACTGCATGGAAATTGTCTGTTTGTGAAGTCAAGGACACATGGCACTGAATAGCACCCCAGCAAATGAGAGTCCAGCTTCTTTCCACACTCACTGCACTGGAGACAGAAACACCTACCTTGTTTGTAATTTCATAGCTGAAATCCCTCCTGTAGTCAATCTTAAAGTTTTCAGCTCCCTCTTTAAAAGGCTGCACTTGCACACCGCCCTTCTGAGGCCCACCATACCTCTCTCAACACTTTTACAGCTCCCAGCCATTCCCCAGAACTCATCTGTGACAAGATGCAGCAGCTTACTTTTGATGAGGTGTAGTGGGTGCTTGGTTGAACGGACTCTGACCAAATCCTCCAGGTCCACCCATGCTGGTACCCTGCCATGGAATCCAGAAATATTTAATGTCAGCTCTACACAGAGGGTGGAGATAGCTAGTAGAGAGAAGACAGCCTGGGCTATGTTCCATTAAACCCCAGCACTTGAAAGTAAGGACTGATCTTCCAAGAATGAAGTTCTCAGGACTGTCAGCACACTTCAGGAGCTCAGTTTCAAAAGCAACCCTGGCCAGCTACAAAGGGGCTACTAACAGGACTACAGCACAGCTGGAAGTTGTCCTTTGAATAGCTTGGAACCTGAGGCTGGTATCAAGCCTTCTCCTCTCAGGTAATTCAACACAAAGGTTGCTTTTCAGTTTTACCATTCCCCAGTTCAGTATTTTCCTTACTTCCTTTTACCCAAGTTTCCCCATTCAGTAGTATTCTAGCCTGACATTATTAAGCTTCAATACCACAGCACTGCATTAAGTAGAAGATAAACATCATCCTGGATTTGCTGGAGCAAGGAGTTCAGTGTTACTTTTTAGGCTTATGATGCCAAGATTATGTCATTTTCACACAGTAACGTTATAGTCTTCCTTTCAAAATCCCACTTGGCAGCCTTCTCATGCCTTATTATAGTTGCACATTACACTTGATTATGTCAGCAGTCAGATCCTCCTGGGACCACAGCAAAAAATAGCCCAATGGATGCTCAAGGGCCAAAGCTCAAGATTGTTGCTAACAGGCAAATGGTTTTGAAGCTAAATAATGTTAAGAGTACACATTGTGCCACCCCTTAAGTCCAGGCCTAAATGCTCCTATGGGTAAAAACAATTCTGAAAGAGACAGATCAAAACCAACAGAGATGAAACTTACACCAACTTTCTCATCTATGAGATGTCTAGCGAGTTCAATTTGCTGGGGAACTCCTCTGATTGTGAATATTCGTACGCCAGGGTCTGTGTTTGGAGGTGGGTTTCTCTGGAGCTCCACGTGAGCTCCTGACTGCTGATTTATGCTCTTGATGTTCTCACCACCTGAAGAGAAGAAAATCAAGACAGTGGATATTCAGCACCTCTTTCCATAAAAGCATAACAAAGTTTATGGCACACAGTTTGCCATTTAGATACAGCAGAGCACCGGAGTGCTTCGAGCAGGATGGGACAGCCTCAGCCAACACAGAGCTGATTTCCTGAAGACCTGCTAGGTCCCAGTCTCTTAATGAAATTTGCTTAACAAAAGCTTCAGCCAACACTACAATGGTTCGATTCTTCTTTTAGAAGCTGACACAACTTACAGACCAGCTCCACTCAACTGGAGAAAGTAAAGGGTAAAGGGAAGGAAAGGGCTTTACAATTTTCAAATCACAAACCAAAACTGCCAGCCTGAAGTACAGCACTAAGCAGGAAGGAAAGAAAAGTAAAGTAACCAGAGCTTTTTGTTCGCTTTTAATTAAAAGGAGTCTCTAAAAATCTCCTCAATTTTGCTCACATTTCCATCTCTATACATCCAGCACAACTTCAAAAACAAACTGTGGATGTTGCAGACACTTGTTCGTTTCATTGTAATGGACTCGTGACCTTTTTAACATTTTAAAGCCTTTCTGGGGAAGGGAGGAGGAAAAGTTGCCAAAGGGCAATTAACTCTTTCTAAATGAATTTTAGAAGATGCATTTAACAAAAGGTAGTCATGTCACATCCCTGGGCAGACAACAGGGATTGTACTGTGTAGCCAAAGCAAAGCCACTTGCTTTCAGACAAGAATGGGAAAGCCACAAAATCGAGCCTCAAATCCACAACGTTTTATTTTGTGCTTTTGTCAGATGCAGATTCACATAGAGCCCTCATGCCCGTGTTTTTATACATTAAGGCAAAACTGGAGTCAGCGATTACTTCATCTTTAATAAAAATACAGGAGAATGGCACCCAAACACTTTAGATCACAAAGAAGTGGGACAACTTTCTTACTTAGGACAGAAGGACAAGCACAGCTTGCTGCTCACACACACACTACATCTCTCCTTCCAAAAGTGAACTGAAATCCAAATCAGACTGGAAGTGAGGAGAATGTAGATTTCAAGTTATTTCTCTGCTCAACATTCAGCACCAAGCTGGTTGCTGCTGGGGCTGTTTCATCAGCTCCCTCCTAGGCCATACAGAAGGATCCTGCAAGTTTCTTCTCCAGATTTGGTGGCAGGCTGCAAGCTCCCATCTCCTGTGTGGGCTTCGGTGCCCCTTTTTCTCCTCACCCACCATTATGCTACATGCCCAAGTGCCCCCTCCCATCCCAAACTTTCCTAATTTTCAGCAGAGCATGCAAAGTGATGCAGCCAAGATGATGCTGCAAGGAGTTCATCTGCCCCCATAAAGCAGCGACTGCTCGGCACATGGTGGCTGTCTGCAGCCGCATTCAGCAGCCCCACTCCATTCTTCTACCTGATGGGGGGCAGAAGTGATCCAAGAGTGGCCCCCCAGCTGGACGTGAAATTGTAAAGCAATTAATCAAACCTGCTAAAAGGCAGAGCTGACAAGAGCCAGGCCAGCCACGTTATCTGTCAATATTGCTGTATTTATCATGGAAATCCAGCGGGGGCCCAGAGAGGCTGCGGTTTGTTTCCATGCACCACCAAACAGAGAAAGCACTTGACATGTGTATGGTGCTTGTCTCCACCCTTCCTCGAGTCTTTCACAGAAGAAAAGCGGCACCTACCCACCCTCTAGAGGAAAAAGCTACATACAGGATTTCCAGGGAGCCAGGAACTTCTTATCAGCTCATAAAGGCTCAAACTCCAAAGCAAAGAAGCAATCCTCATGGGAAAGGGGCCCTGGATCTTCTGTCACACACACTGTTCAGATCAAGCTATGGCAAACTTCCCTTCTCCCTCTTCTCCCTGCTTCTGGAGTGCTGACACGAAGCTGGAAGCATAACAGCAGTTATCTGGCCACATCTGATACCCTGCATCCAGGGGTCCAAGGTAACGACTGCTCAGATGCTGACCTCAGAGGCAGAGCTGTGTGTGCCCACAGAACCTGGCTGGATTGTACAGAGGGCTAACAGCCAAGCTCTGTGCCACAACAAAAACAAACACAAACATTACCAGCTAGAAACTGCTGAGAAACTAAAACAGGGGTCAGCAAAGATTTTGCTAGTGGTGACTGTTTAAACCCCCACATTAACATCCCCTCTGTCCTACAATGCCCCATAGGCAGTGGAAGAAGAAACAAGAAGAGTCAGACAACAATATCTTGCTTCAGCAAATGGAGACTGCAGTGCCTCCATCCCCATCCACACTCCAAAAGGCAGTGCTACAGCCATCACTCACTTGACAAAAAAAATGAATGCTGCAACAGTATTTAAGAGCACAGGCACTGTAAGAGCACCGACTGCAAAGCTACAAGCATTCAAATCACCATACAACTAGTAATTAGTCACTCCAGAAAGCATCTGATCTGGCTGGGTAAGAATCTTTGTTTTGCTGTTGTGGAAACAAAGGTAAAAAGCCACCCTTCACCCTCACAGCGAGCCCCGTGCCAGGCCTTGCACTTGAATGCTAGGACATTTAACTCCTCTACCTGCATTTATCTTTGCTCTCTGTAGTCACAAATGCTCCACTTCAGTGCACTGCTGAACAACAAGTAACCTTTTCTGTTCCTTTATTAAGGATGACTAATGGATACAGCAATAAAGTTTCATTATAGATATATATATATAATTTGTTTTTTATATATATATCTCACTTGTGGGCTTAAAATTTGCTTTGCTTGATCTTTGCCCAGCTGGACTATTCACTGAGATAACGTGCAATCACTCTGCAATATCTCCATAATGGGGAGAGTCATACTGAGGAAGTTTTCTGGCTTGTGAACAGGTTTATAGCAAAGAAAAACATCTGAAATATACCTGATGTGCCTGCATACTTGTGCCCCTAGTCATCCAATTATGCAGCATTCAGGATGCCATGGGGGCCAGAAAGGGAACAAGTGAGGTGCAGCAGGGCTGTGTGGCAAGGGAAAAGGCCACAAGACGTTTCATTGCAAGCTCACTCCTGCCCATCAGGATGGAAGGGAACTAAGTGCCACTGAAACATGGCACAATGCCCTCATGCCTTTGCCTCCTTTACTGTGGCAGCTAATCTGCTCCTATTCTATGCATCTCACCTCTGCTGACACTAAAAGCCAACTGTGACTACTTAAATGCTGGTTTAGGCATATGTCATTCTTACTGAAATAAGCAGACAGCAAAAATTAAATACAATTCTATTGATATGTCAGTGTCTTAACTCAAAAGAACTGCAACAATTCAGAGCAATAGAGCTATTCCTGCCTCTAATTTCCTTACTGGCATTACCTGATGCTCTACAACAACTGCTGCGGATGCTCTGGTTTTATGAGTGACTTGGCAGCATGCAGGTTCTTCAGAGGAAGGCCAGGTGTCTTGCCTGTGTGCTTTGCATGGAGCGATTCAATGGCTTAGGAAGCAAAATACACTGATCTGAGCAAGATGAGGTGCACATCAGGCAGGGCACCAGGCTGCTCTGTGCCAGTCCCAGATGTCAGCTGTGGCACAGACAAACCGTCTCTTTTGCTTTACTCATCACACAACTCAGGTTCATGGCTGGAAGCAGCTACAGTCATTACCACATTCATATATCTTTCATTTTACCACACAGCACTCACAGAAATTCAGCATGCCAAAATGACTGTTCTGCTTGTCCCTGACAAACTGCCTTTTAAATAAGTTCTTTAAAAAGGGATCTGCAAATGAAACTGCCTTTTCTCAGCCAGCTGCTTGTTATAACAGGTTTGCCTGTCAGCTCCACATGAAGAGCCTTTCTCACGTATTGTGAACAAGGGCCTGGAGAGTACAGTGATGATTGAGAACACCACAAGGTAAACAACAAAGAGTGCTTCCAGCTTACTCCTGCCCTGCACTCACTGGCCACTAAATAACTGCACTCATAAAAAACTGCCAGGCAGCAAGAACATGACCACCCCAAGACTGAAAAATGGGAAGCTTGAGTATTCAGTGTCACCAGACCTACCTTTGCCTATAACGAGACCACACTTGTCAGCTGGCACCGTGTAGGTTATTTCCTGCATGCCCCCAGGTGTTCCAACACTCCAGTCCCCACGGCCACGACCTCTTCCCCGGGCTACAGCCAAACTTCCAAAGCCATCTCGTTCCTTGGAAGGCAAAGAATTTCTGTCAGTGGGTTTTTTATTTTTATTTTTGCTTGCCTCAATACACATTAGAAACAAAATAAAGCAAGGGAAGTTAAACTGCATTGTAATCAATGGCACTGAATTGAGATATTCTTGGACTTCCACGTTCAAAACTTAGGAGCAATTTAAAGAAATGCCAGTGACGTGGGCAACGGCTGCCTTCCTGACTCAGGAAGATAAAAATATTTTTTAAAATGCGTGCCTTTGTATCTGCTGAAATAAGCCTATAAACAAGCATCAGCTGCTTTTATTTAGTGATGGGAGGTTTGCTTAGAACAACCAATAATAGATCTTGGCACCAACATATGCACAAGTTAGCATCCAAACTCTTTCAAGTGTCATTCTTTAAAGAACTTCTGGAACTACTCAGCTGAAATGCACAATTTCCAGAAATTCCAAAGGAAGCTTTTAAGTTCAAAGACACTTAAAGGACATACCTAGTTTGGATAACTAATTTCTCCAGAAGTAAAGGCCATAGGCAGCCAAAGGCTACCTGGACAAATCTCAAAAATCTTACATAAGCAAGTATTCAAACCAAATCTCAAGGTAAAAAGAGAAAGCAAGATCTAACCTTAATTGAGAAATTAGACCGTTCCAAACCTGATAATTAGTCACAATCTATTAACCTCCTAATAAAAAGGTAATATGCAACCTTCTCCACATGACCTTGCCCTACTGCCTTGCTCATCTCCACTCTTCTTGCTCCAGGACAATGCAGTATGTTTGTGTCTAAGAAAACACAGTAACTGCATATGTCAAAGGTTTTCACCTTCTGTTGCTTCCCACAGCCACCAGACTTGATTACCAGAGACTGGAGAGTTGGCAAAGGAGGTGCTGTGAGCACTGAGAATGCTCTGCCACCCAGAGTGCTACTCAGTCCTTCTGAGCAGAGCCTCCAGCCTCTGTCTCACTGTAACGCTGGACTATGGTCCATTAGGTCACCATTTTCAAGTAGCTTTGAAAAACAGCTCAACACAGAATTACAACAAAGCCTATTGATATTGCCTCAGAACAGGATACCCTCTCATAGCTCAATCAGCCCTGGTCACATTTTAAAAACAAAACAAAATCAAACCCAGCGGCTCTCTCCTTGGCAGCAGCATGCTTGGCCTACAAGAAGAAAAACTTAACACTAATGCTCTTCATCCAGCTGCATGCATGGACATTCTCCTCTAAGCACTTTCCTCCCAGGAGCTTCCAGAACCCACCTGTGCTGTAAGAATAAGCTCGCTGATGATGTGTGCTGCATGTTGACACCTATCGGGAAGCCCCATGACCTGTGCGACTCTTTCAGGACTAATCCCATCATCTGTGAAGAGAAGAGGCAAAGACTAAATTAAAAGAAGAAAATATCCACCCACCAACAAAAGCTTCCTTCTAGCACCACCACTGCCAGCAGCACTTTCATATAACACGTCTAGCCCAAACTCTCTCTCCCCTCCACCTTCAGTCACACTTCACATACTGAAAGGAGACAAAAATCGCATTGCAGAGGGGACAGCATTTAAAAGACAACACTTTCACATGTCAAAAAGTCATGAGAGAGATTGATATAATTTTAAGAGGACAAAGGCAGCTTTGATAGGTGATCAGACAGCCAAGGACCCAGAGAAAGTTACTTAGAATCAATCAACTCCTGATCTCCAAAGGCTTTCATGTCCTGAAGGAGAACTCCGTAACAGGAAACAGAAGTGTTATTTTGTTTGTCCATACAGTTACCATTCAAGACATTACTGTTGTGACATCTAATGTTTGTAAGTAAGATGTATATAGTCTTACTTTCTGAAAAACAGAAAGTGCGTGAGGAAGAAGTGTGTCATTAAACAGCTTACAGAAAGAGACAATGCACCTTTAAATGAGGAAAGCCTAGCTGCTGTAACCTCAGAGCAGAATCACTGCAGCGATCCCAAATTGGAACACTGGTCAGAAAGTAATGGCTCTCCATCCTCACACAAACCTGGTTTAAATTGAATCCTAACTCCAGCATCATTCTGAATCTTTTTGATCATTTCTCCATTTCTTCCTATTACAATTCCAACAGCAAACCTGGGCACAGAGACCTGATGGGAAAGGCAAAGCAGTATGAAAGCTCAGAACTAGACTGAGTTACTCTGATTTAACAAGGAGATGGGCCACATTAAGCAGCTCCAGGCTACACAAAGATATTCTGTAAGAAAAACAAACATGTGACCACAAATTCCTTCCCCACTAAATGAACTCTGCGCTACAAGAATGCAACTTCAAAAGACAATTAGAAAAGTGCCATCTGGGAGTCCATGAGAACTCCCTTTTGCAGCCAGACTCACTTTTCTGGCAACAGAAAACAATGCATTAAAAAAAAAAACTTACAGGTTACACATGAAACTTGAGGACTTCCACCCACTGCCCGTCCCACAGGGAGGTTAGCAGAGTACTTGTGAAGAAAACATACCTCTATGCTGCCTCCTCCCATTCTAGAACTGAAATCATTGCGTACGCCTCGGAAGTCTGCCTGATCTTTCTCTCGGATGATCTCCAGTACCATTTCCCTTGCTTGCTACATGGGGAAAGAAGTTACAGTTAGCTTAAAAATATTCTGTTCGCCATCTCGGCGTTAGGGCCTCGATAGTGGCTGATTTACCACTGTCAGAGGAGATCTGCTTTCATCAGATGCGGAAGATGTCAAAGTCTGCCAGGTGTGCGAGGCTGCAGTTTCTTTGTGTGCAATTGCATACCTGTCTTTCAAAAGGGAGCTTTTCATTTTAAAACAATCACTTTCTCCCCACTTTTTTTTTTTTATTTAATTGAAGGAAGATCCTCTCCTACTGGACAGAGCTGAAACCAACAGTATAGCAGATGCTCTGGCAGCACAGTAGTCAGCGTATCCGCTAAGAGGCAGAGAGCACGTACAAGAAGGCAGGTGAGCAGTGGCGAGCTTACTGACACTCAGACAAAGTTACACTCAAGTCTGCAGCAATCCAGCAAGGCTTTTTTTTTTTTTTGAGACAAGTGAATGTTCTTCCTACCTACTTGCAGCTCTCCAGGCCTTTCACAAACTTGCATATATGCCCAGCTAGTAAAAGCATATCTTGGAAATAAGCCAGCAGTAAGTCACCATTAAAAAAAAAAAAATACTGCCTGTCAAAGCCTAAACCACTGTTTCTACATATTTCCTGTCAAGATTTAGATGTTTGGGTTCTATCTCAAAGTTTGAGGGACGCTGGCAAATCTGCCTCCTTTCCTATTCTTATGTATTTTCCATGTCCCCGTGGCATTTATTACAGAAGGGGACAATTCAAGACATTTCAGAGATGCTAAGACAGAAATAAGGGCAATGGAGATATTTCCTAGAGATATGAGATAGTTAAGAACTCTGCACTTTGCAACATGCAGATTTCCACCAAAACCAAGGACTCAATGAGCTTTTACAGTGCATTCTAAGTGTGCTGAACTTTAAGTGCCTCAAAGATCTTCCAGTTTATGAAGCCTTCACAATTGCTTGCCATGATTTATGGCACAGAAGATGCGACAACAGCAAATGTTGCAAGGCAGAAGGAACCATCTGGAAAGCATCAGCACTCACAGTATGACTTGGTTAAAAGCAGCAAGAATCTCATTAAACTTTCTACACGTTTTTACCTTTGCAGTAAGTATAAGAATTGTGGAAATTAATGCAACTGGGCTTTTAGATTTAACTAATAAGTGGCTTGAAAAATTCTACCCAAACATACCTGACCAGCATCAATTGTCATAGCAGTTTATGACTAGGAAGATCCAACGAAACAGAACTACTTTCATTAGAGACAGGAATACTAAGCTAGATTTAACTATCTAGCAAGGTATGAAAGGCACTTGCTGGGAAGTGGAACGTGCCACACCTCAACTTTAAATCAAGAGCTCCTATCATGCTGCAGTCTTCCAACCTCTGCATGATCATGGGTTTTTGCTTTGAAACCACAGCATGACTGTATCTGCAGAACCCTGACACAAGGAGAATGACATACCAGCATTAGGTAAACCCCTTGGTTTCAGGAGTTGTAGTTCTTACTTTTTTTTTTTTCTACTTTTAATTACCTGCGTCAGTTGGCTGTCTGAGATATTGAGCCTTCCACAAAACTTTCTCAAATGTCTGCTTAAGTTGGTCACTGTGAACTCAAATGCTTAAGTAACATGTAGCTATGATCTGCGTTTCAGGACTGGAATGTTTTTCAGCTCTACCATCTCCAAACCTTCCCGCTTAGCTCTTCTATCCAGGTCTAATATCTACATGGAGTGAGAGCCCCCAGGTCATATTGTAAACTGGCCAATACTTGCTAGTCCTAGGAATGAGTCCTAGAATGTTCTGACTCATTCTACTCAAACTTTAACTTCACAGAACAAACAAAACCAGCAGGGATCAGAGTATTTATGATAGATTTATAAAGGATTCAACTCCATTAGATGTCCACAAATATGTTTCAACTTCCCCCCAACATTCTGGGGCAACTGCTTGCTTTTATTACATACCTGTACTTTAAATGCATCTCCAGTAATACGGAGAGGTTTATCTGCTCCAGTAGGCATTGGACCATCTTGGATCATAATCATTTTCACACCTGTTCGCTCCTGAAGAAAAAGCACAGAGCACTTTGCTAAGCAGAGTCCCTGAAACAAGGGACTACTTTTGGTTACTAGACATTAGCTAGGTCATGTTAGCAGCTTTGCAGAACACTACCGTAGCTCTTCACAAGTACTTAGAGCACAAGTTCAGTAACAGTCCTAGAGTGTAAAGGACTGACAGAAAGTGTGCTACTCCTGATGATCTTAAATAGCTGAATCTCTTGCAAAAATAGAACTCTACCTTGGCAACTGATTTTTCAAATCCTTTCCAAAATCTGCAGTTGTCCACACATAGCAGTTACGTGACCAGCCTTAAAACTACTGGATGACAGAGGGCAACCAAAAAACCTGCATTTTTGACCTAGGTTCCTTTCTGGAACCCTCTATCCTTTAAAAACTTGTACAGGATGTCAGCATAAAGAATGTCTAGGAACACGGAGTTATACATAACAAAACACTTAATTAGAAAGGGTGGGATGAGGAAAAAAAGGAAGACAAATGCCAGCTTTTTCACAGATCAACAACAAAGGAGAAGCAGAGCACTCTACAACAGCATGGCTGGCATTAAAAACTTGCAGCAGCAGACTAGAGATAGACTTTTCTTGTCTACAGGGGTCCCATCCTGAACAGCACGCACCAAATGTTATCTAAAGCACATGAGTTTTTTTCACAGTTCTGTGAAAATTCCACTGCATGTGTAGCTGGGGCTAAACTGATTTTGTCTGCAACACAAGGCTGGGTCCAGCTTTCCGAAGGCAGAAGAGTAGTCCCTGCTGTAGAAGGTTAGAGCATTTATAGGCTCTCCGTTTCAGCACGCTCTTGTTGATCTAGAGAAGCTGCAGTAGGGAAGAGAGCCCTAAAGTAAATGCATCTTGCGCACCTGCAACTGTTTTATTGTTTCACCTCCTTTGCCGATGACTAGACCCACTTTGGATGCCGGGATCAAAATCTCCTGAATCGTACTGTTGCCATCAACATCGTTGTGAAAACCAGGTCCGTTCCGACAGCGATCTACAATCTGCCCCAGTAGCCGTTTTGCTTGTCTTGGAAAAGAATCGAGGGAAACAACCATTAGACAACATTGTTCCGTGTGACCAAGAGACTTGGAACCATTGGAATGTGAAGCAATTGGGGAGAGAAGTGAAAAGATGAAGGAAACCAGTTAGCACAACTTTATTTTTGGGGGAGAGGGTGGTATCCAATGTCCCCTATTATGATTACTTATAAGCAGCTTCATTTTTTTTTTTGTAAGGGGAAGAGAGAAGGAAGAACAGCAGCATGCTCCAACATCTTTGGAAGTTAAGGAGCTGTTACATTTGGGGTGCACAATTTGAACAAAGATGCTCTACACCTTGAACACCTCTAAACTTATTTCCCCCATGTATATGTAGTATTTGATAAAAAAAAAACAAAAACCCTCAAGCTCTGTTCTCCTTCTTGATCAAGACAAAAACAGATGGTGCTTCAATACTAACACAGCACACTGGTGAACCACTCTGATCCCTCACAAACAATGCCTTGCTCTTCTCTGCCTGCCCTCACTAGCAGCACCAGAACACTGCTCCAATACAGCCTCTGCCCCAAGCAGCAGGTGCTAAAGCTACACCAGGAAGCAAGGCAAGGACATTGTAGCAGCAACCAGTGGAAGACTGGGTTCTTCTACTCATGAAGAGACAGACACAAAAAGCAAAGATACCTTCTCTAAGCATTTTCAGCACGTCAGAAGTAGCAGATACATCTTCCCTTCATCACAAGGACTGCTATTATCAACACATCCCTTTCCTTCCCTTTTCTAACAACACTTCTCAATAGGTAGAAGAAAGCCACAGTTCCCTGCTCAGTCTAAAGCAGAGTCTTCCCCACTTCATACTCAGACACCACACACAGATGGTCTTCTCTCTAAAAACTTGAAGAAATGGTATGAAACCATCCATTGCAAGCAGGCATTCACTCAAGACAATTCAAGGGATGGTGATCTGAGGCGGCACAAAGATCAGAGTGCTGCCCTCTCTCAACTTTCTCACAAAACAAAGCAAAAGGTGGAATTTCTGGAAGCCTGATTCAAATACTCTGAATGGTTTTATTCATTTACCTTGACATTTTGCATAAAGTGTGACAACAGAGATTACAACATTCAATACACCACACATATTAGATGAGAAGGGGTCACTGGGAAATTAGCTCTATTAGTTTGCCTCCAGATATAACTAACAGAAGTACTCCTCACACAAAACCAATCTAAATATCTGCTGTTTTTGAAGTGTTGTCTCACTTCAGATAATTTTTCCTATGAATAACCTGAAAAAGTAGTTCAAAAAACTAACTTGACAACAATTTCAGCACAGAAGCAAACAAAATTTCACCTAGTTCCACATCTTTAACTTTGTTCTGCTCCAAAAATTGCATATTCTCACCTTTCCTTTTATTTTATTTTGATTTAAAGACATTTAACTGCATATTTCTGAATAATGAGGTCTTCACTGTACCTCTCCCCCAATCTGCCCCAACTGCATTTTATTGGGCATCCCAGTTTTTCTTTTTTTAATATTTTGCTCTTGTTCTGAAATATCCTTTAGCAAAGAGAGAAAAAACACTTCAGTATCAGCAAGAATACATCACCTGTCCTGTAATGTGAGCTTACCAGCTACATTTATTCTGGCTCATTGCTTGAATCACTATGGTGGAGTAAGAAGATTTAAGTACCCTTAGATCTCTTAGGAATGGAAGAATGATGATTGTCTTCTCTTTAGAGAGACATCTTTGCGCCCATGTATTTTCACTATCAAATGCAACTCAAAGATTTCCAGATGGATTTTAAAAAACCCACCTACCCAAAGGCTGGGGAGAGAAAGAGCAGCTCCATATGTTAAGTGTGTTCCTGTAAGCCTGAGGATCCTGGATCCAGTTCCAGCAGAAGGTCCTCAACTGGTTTGTGAGAGTCTCAAACTCAGCTCCTGGGAAGGGGGAGGGAGGAAACACTGTCCCTAAAGTTTCTATAGGCCTAAAGAGTAGAAATCCCTGCTGGCTAGCCATGTGTCTGTACCATGCAGGGATCAGAATTCAAGAATTTCTGGTTCAGTCCTTTGCTTCTTGTTGGCAGCAGTGCAGAGGCAAGCACACCCATGGGCCTCATGCTGCTCTGCAGCAACACCAACACCTCCAGGTAACTCTGGAGTGGCACTGACAGGCTTTGGAGGCCTCATGCAGACCTTCTTCAGCTGCAAGGATGTCAGCTCAATAGGAGGGAAGCGAAGGGGAGAAGAGAAGTGCCCTTCAACAGCTTAGCTAAGTATTCTGGAAAGCTGCAGCTCAAAAACTGCATTCTAGGTGCCCTAGGAGCAACCTTGCCCTGCGGAGGGGAGTTCCATGGACAATTCTGCAGAGGGTTCAAACTGAAACTGGAAAAAAGCCTTTGAGGTGCACAGTTCAAAGCATCAGACCAAGAGGCTCTGTGTTCCAGGACCCTCAAGTTTCTCTAGGCCAACATTTGCTGGTGTGGCTAACCAAGTAGCACCACTGACAGAGCACAGTATTAGGAAAAAGAGAGAAGGAGAAAGGAGAAGAATAAAATCAGAACTCACTCAATGCTCTCTGGTGTCCCGGTGAGCACACAGGGCCTCTCAGGCATCCCACCACTGTCTACAAAGGAAAGAAGACAACAGAGATCAGATGCTTCCCAACTCTTAGTGCCTAAACTGCCTTTAGTAGCCAGGCAGGCAGACAAGTACTGACTCCTCTCACAGGCTAGAAGCTAAAAAAGTATCCTACATTAGTACTCAGAACTAAGAAATGGCAGCAGTTTCAGTAACTATCAAGTACTAATGAAAACGCTCCCCTCTGCACACAGAGCAGGAGACAGCCAGGGTCAGTATATTTTAAATGATTTGCTGGATATCTGTATTATTTTAAAGCCTTCCCCACCAATTAAAGGGAGGCTTAAAACCTACATTACATTCATCAACAGTGTCCTGCACAGCACTTGTAGTACAGCCTTCCCCAAAGCAAACAGGCTGCAGCACTAGCAGAGCAAATGGCATGTTCCCATTTTTTTCAATGCAAGGCAAATTGTATGAAGAAGTGCTGCCACCCTCCTGAAATGTTTTCTGCCAGGTGCTGGAGCAGAGTGGACTGATCAGAGATAAATTGCATGAGCTGAGCTAAATGGTACTGCCAGGAGAAAACTAAGAAGTAATTTCTGCTTAAAAAACATGGATTGTCTATTTGTACTGTACCCATCTGTTGGTTAGAGACAGTTCCTTAACTATTCAATTCCCTAAACCACCTGACAAACCTGTTTTCTCAGGAAGCCCAGTCCTACACAGCCCTCCCAACACGTCAGCCTAGTATATAATGCATTACCACCATTCACAAATGATGACCAAGGCAAGGCACCTGATACAACGGACACGACATTCTCCAACACTAAAACCTGCTCACCCACCACAAACGAGGCTCTTACCTGGAGCAATTTGAATTTTGCAGCCAGACTCGATCTGAATCCGTGAGATCTGCTCCCCTCCCCTGCCGATTACTGAAATGAGTTCAACAAGCATCAGCACACGCTGCTTATCCCGAAAAACTGCAGAGCAACTTCCCCCCTTCCACTCCGTTGCAGCTCTCTATAAAGGTACAATTTGACTACAGGATTGTAGAAGAGGCATCCACAGTATGATAACATTTAAAAAACTAAAACAAAACAAGCAAAGAGGAAACCAACAACAAAAAAACACAACTTTGTCTTGCACTGGAATGGAGATACATAGCATGTAAGATAGAAGGTGCAAGTCTGAGCGCTGCTGGGAGTCATTTCGGTGTATTTCAGCCCAAACAAATAAACCAGTTATTTAAGAAGCTAAAAAAGCTAAAGACTTTTGCTTTTCTATCTTTAAAATTCATGTTTTACTACCTCTTTTCAAAAGACATGCTATTTCTCCAGTCTGCATTCAAAACTACTACCCACCAAAATGCTCTATCAAACCTTAAGGAAAACAAATACCCATCTCCCTTAACATTTAGGGTCAGCAAACAGTTGTTTCACAAACAGACACACTGAGGAGAGACAGCGTGCCTATCACCACTCATATCCCTTGCTGACTGCAAAAGAGCAGAACTGTCAAGTCAAACAGGTATGCCTGGCTCACGGTGCTCCTGCAGAAGAACCTCCCAGCCCTCTGTGGAGGTGTTCAAGGCCAGGTTGGATGGGGCCCTGGGCAGCCTGGTCTAGTATTAAACGTGGAAGTTGCTGGCCCTGCCTGTGGTCCTTGAGGTCCCCTCCAATCTAAGCCTAAGCCATTTTATGATTCTATGAATCAGATCCCCGCTCTCACACCTGGCTGCTGCTGAACCAGGATTGTACTTAATACACGGCTGATGCACCAATATGCAGGGTCCCACCTCATCCAGCTATAGAACCCCTCTGACTTCCCTTCCTCCACACATGTGGTACCAGGATGGATAAATAAAAAACACTGGTGGGAGGACAGATTTCCTTTTCGTGAATTCCAGAGTTACAGTTTTACAGTGTACAGTTACTGCCCTAAGGGGTAATTATCTTGGGCTGTTATTTTCTTTATTACTCTCTGTATATCAAATTGGGAGAGATGCACAGATACCTAACAGTGGAAGAGTAAATGCAATCTCTGCAGTCACAACAGCAGGAGGGTGCCATTGAAAGAAAGAGTAACGATCATCAAAAGGAAGAGAGGAATTAAAAGCTTAGAAGAGAACAGCACCAAGAACACAAGTCCAGGGAAAAAGCCTCAGCTGAGCAACACATACTGGCTGCGTTCCCCTGCAGCAAAGGTATGAAAGATCTGAAGATTCTGCTCATCTTGCCTTGAGTCAAGTCTTGTTTTTACATTTAAATATTGTTTTTCTCCCTCACCTCCCACACTTCTGCATACTCAAAAGCAAAATGATTCAGTGAGGGGAAATTAATTCACTTTTGATATATTTATGTAGCATGTTATTTGACATTTAATAAACAGAACCACCAGAGTTCTCAGTAGCCTGTACCATGCAGACTTGTTCTCATTATTGGGTCACCAAGCTTTTCCATGCCATTTGCACATGGATTTTAAATGCAGATAATGTGGTCCCCACAAAGCATCAGACAAGACTCACCCAAGGCTAGCAAGCACAAAAACTTGTGATCATGTCTTATCCTAGGAATATGCAGCATTCCTGCACAGAAGAACCATACCAAAAGCATGCAAGGTACTTACTAAATCCAACCATTTTATCAGGCACTTTGAAATCTTCTGTTATTACAGCCCTGAAAGGAAAGAAAGAAAAAAATATTGAATGGTCATTACAGTGAACAATTTAGAAGATGACAGAAGACGTTGTGCTGTGGAAACAAGACACAGCATAAGGCTTCTGCACACAGAGAAGTAAATACTGCATCACAATTAAAATTGTTTGTTTTGGAAGAGACCTTTAGGCCCTGCTCCGTGGCCTGGCTGCAAAGACAACACACCTCATTTCTCCTACACTGGATGTGTTTCTACTCTACTGTCTGTTATCATCAATGGAAGAACCCTTTTGTCATTCGTGCTCCAGACAGATTTAAGAGAAAAACAGCAAAGTTCCTTCAATGTTTAGACTTACACCTTCTAAGCTGTAGCTTCTGCCTGCTACTTTCCGATATGCTCTTGCCAGGAGACACTAACCAATGCCAATACTGGTTTGAATGCTCCTTCTGATACTCAGATTTTCTTTCTTGCCTGCCTGTACTTACGGTTCTTTTCTTTGGAATTTATAACAGCTGTCTCTGATCATCCTTACCATCTCAAGATTTCCCTATCTGTTGCTCTTTGGACTTTTTCAGCGTATCTGTGCCTCAACACATAAGCACCCAAAGCAATTTCCTAAGACCTGACTACAGTGAAACACAGAAGAAATTCCTTGTGGGACTTTTGTTTGCCATTTCTATTTCACATAAAATAACAACAAACACAGAACTTGCAAACTCTGTATGCTGCCATATGCATTTCACACAGTTTGTTCAGCAGTCTCAAAAGCAGTGCATAATTCCCTGCACAAACATCACTGCTGGTAGAACAGAGGTGGCAGATAGCAGCAGAGCTGACAATGCTGCCCACGGATTCCATGCAGCCCTACTGAGAAATCTCTTGTATTAGATGCTAAGAGATGCTGTGCAACAACTCATTTGCTTTGGTCTCCCCAAACCATTTTTGACAATCAAAGGAATCATCCCAGGTCATATTACATTAACAAACCCAGGAAACATTACATATATACATATGTATATACATATATATACACACACACATATAAAAATGCACCTGCTTGTTTAACATTTTCAAACTCTGTCAAAGTGCCAGTTTGCCTTCGTTGTTTTTTTTTCATCCTTTTCCTCCCCACTGGGCAGGAGAAGGAAAAGGAGATAATATATTCTGCTTGGTCCTGCAGAGCTACAGGAATCAAATCCAAGTTTTACTTCAACTCTTCTTTTCTCCTAACAACAAATAGCTTTTAAAGGGTTAGCAGAAGCCTCAGCCTGGAGAAAACCCAAGCTGACAGTTTCTCCACATTCCCAACCTCTGACTTCCTAACACTACTACAGATGGTGGATCAATAAACAATTAGAATTGATCAATAAATAATAAAACATAACCCACTGCTTACCTTTGATGTACCAGGGCCCCTAACTGGTTACCTACTGTGGCAGAGAGAGAAAAAAGGAAAAAAAATCAAAGCATTAGCACGGATAAACTAACTTCATCCCTATAGAAAAAGAGTTCTTACCATTTCATCAAAAAAGAAAGAAAAGCAAAACAGTAATTTAGGTTCAGCAGCTGAAATGAATGCGTTATGGGGTACAAAACAGGAGGGGATTTCTTGATCAGCACACACCATAACCCAGTGTCCAGCTGAACACAGGATAGGGAATTGATCTGCGTCTCCCCATGCTGAGAGTCATGGGAGAAAATCCTGCCTGCCCAAATCCAAATCCCCACAGCTAACCTCCCTCCTTCCCGATTTAAACCCAAAGGGAAAAAAGAGAAAGGGGGAGAGGTGGGACTGCAAGGGGAGAAAAGACATGTCAAGTGATCAGTATGTACTACAAACAACATAAAAGCTGAGCAGATTTGGAGATTTAGTCTAGGCAAAAAGCATTGAAGATTGCTCGCACATACTTCTCTCTGTATCTCTTATCTGTGCTCCATGGAGCCCACTTACACGGAGACCTGTTAAAGGAAGAAGTCTGTTCAGAACCCTCGTGGCACCCAAACTGTACTTCTTTCCCCATCACATCTGACTGAACACACACATTCCAGGCATATCTGTGATGTCAGCTGGCAGCCCGTTACCATTAGCAGTTATCTCCCAGCTGACAGCCCTCAGACAGACTTTTTCCCCCCAGCCCCCACAGATTAGATCTTTCTTCCAAACGTTAATGGGGAAAATATCATTAGACCAACTCATGCAAAGTGGGAACACATGCCCTGCTGGGCTTCCTACAGGACTTTGCCTGCAGCAAACTGGCTAAAAACCAGACCATTTGGTCCTAACAACCAGTTGAAGATTATATTGCATGCCTGGAGGGCACAAGTAGCGAAACAAATGGAACTGGCCAACAACACGTGAGCCGTGATAATAAAGATGCTGTTTCAAACTACCTTACAGCAACCTGCACATTCTTTGACCTGAAATCAATTGGCAATCAGCTGTCAGGGTTAGACAGCGGATGCATCCCATGCACACAGAATCCGGTAGGAAAAAAAAAAAACACACAAAGTTTGTGGCCAAACACTCCAATAAAGCAGACAAAGAGAGTCAATATCATATTTCTGCAGCGTGTCAATATCTTGATAATAGTTCAGGACCAAAATATCGACCATATATATTTTATTACTCTCTCCAGCTCAGCGATAAGACAACTGTTGCGTTATTGACGCTGTTAGATTTGCCTTTGCATATTCTCACCCTGAATATAAAAAGCTCTAATTTGATAACTATCAATGCTGCAGCTGAAAAAGGTGGATGATGTAATGGGGGATGTTTGCTCTTGCTGATAAGCTGCTGCAGCAGAGTTGAGCAAATATGACCAAACAAATCCAGAATCTCACCACCCTGCCCTAAACAGCACTGAGGTGTATTTCTGCCAAAAGCAATAGGTCTGCAGGACAGGACCAGGCCACTCAGCATCCCCACGTGTGGGAAGAAGTGCTGCTAGCACTCAGCAGTATTTAAACAGCCATTTTGCATTTGGATTCACCTCAGCAGATCTCTTTGCAGTCTCTTACACTGCAGTTGCTGCCCACAAATTATGAGACAGATATGCATCCTATAATCACATCCCGAAGTTCATGCAAGGAACAGAAGAGCCATCATTTCATAACACCAAAGACAGCTTCCTAGAAGAAAACTGTATGAGCACAAGAATCAGGCAGACAGATATCATGCCTACTTTATATATATTTATTGTGCCAATTAGATGAAAGCAAACAAAGCCCCAGTAATTAAAGCAGGACACCATTCCCTCTGCACACAGACAGCCTCCAGGAGCTGTGAAGCAGAGCTGGCAGAGAAAGCTGGGGTGACTTGCTTTAAGTCAGATACGATTTCTCTCCATTTGCAGGGAAAACAGATTGTCTCGGCTCCTCGTCCCAACGATCTGAAGGTTTAATTTCTTCCCTAAAATGCCCATTTTGCTATGAAAGATGAAGCTAATAGAGAGGCAAGGCCGGGGCAGCACATGCCTGCTGCAGCACCAAAGCTGCCATCCCGCTCCCCCACCTCCCTCCTCCTACTGGGGAGGGGGCTGAACTCTGACAAGCCACATCCACGTTTCCCCCTTTTTACATCTATTGAGTACAATTTAACTGTAACTGCAGTCATTTTACTGCAAATAAGGAAAAATACTGAATAAAATAAGCACAATTTCCCGTTAATGGCACCCGCTGGTTGATAACTCTTCACTCTTCTTTAGGCTTCACCTTTAACTGAATTCTACCTAACAGACACTCTAAACAAATGCAGATTTTTTTTCCACCCCGTAGAACAGATCGGTGCCTCCCACTAAATTAACGTGCATGATAGGAATATACAATGTCACTGAGGATATCCTCACGGCTAGAACAAAACCAGAACGCTCCTGGAAAGTGGTGGAAAGGGGCTGCATTTCACACTTCTGAACCAAAATAGGATCATCATAAATTTCAGAAAGATGTGATAAAGGTAATAATTGCCAGAGTTGTTGTTCAGCCTTAAATATTGGTAAGTATTTAATTTAAAGGTCCAAACCAATTTTCCTGCCTGCCTTTGTGGTGAATCTTCACAGAGAATGCTTGTACCCTTACGTTGCCTTATTAAAGACGTGTGCAGTTTTGAAGAAAGCTGCCATTTCGTGCAGCACACTAAGCCTCTGCCAAGAGGATTTCTGTTACTTGGTCATGCTGCTGATGTTGGTATGTCACGGAGCATCCCTGCTAACTTTTCTTAGAATAAGATTTCCTTGTGCCCACAAAAACACATTGGAGCTATGCAAGTTCTGCATACAACAGGATGTGTTTGAGTCCCCAGGCTTTAACACAATCAGGTTCTATTTGAACAAAACCTATCTGGATGTACCAGAGGCTTGGGGAAGGCAGGGGGGAGGTGACATGGGGCTTCTCCAAGGCCACGTCTTTGTTTCCCCAGACTCAAAGGGTGCTTCAACCTTCAGCTACATCACTGGAAGCGCCTTCAAAGCACTCCAGAACAGAGCACACAAAGGCTAATGCTGAGGTTCTGGCAATCACTGTTTTTCTGGCAGATAAGACCCCCACGTCCTTTGAAGCTGCTTCTTCGAGGTTGGTTTAGCATTAAATAAACTTATTAAATTGTGCTGGTAACTAGATGGACACATTAATTTGGATGGAGGCCAGGAGCTGCTGCTGGCCATGAAGAGGAGTGCTGGGATCTATTCTCAGCAGCAAGCCACAGGCAAGATGCCACTGCATCTTGGAGGAACCCCATCTCAGTGGTCCTCTTTTCCCTTTCTGGAAACATCCTTCAAGAAGCAAGGAAAAAAAAAATAGTAGTTCTCAAACTTTATCTAATACCAATAGGCCAGGGCAGCAGGGTCAGCCCTAGCAGCTATTTGTTTTTGATGAATGTTACATTAAGGGAAACGCAGAAGGAACTCATGCTGTCTGGCCTCCAATACTATGACAAGTCTATTTTTCCTGGAAATGCTCTAAAAGCAGCTGAATTTGTTTTGACCAGCGCACTGTCATCCTGTCTTAAGACCACTTCCTAAGCTGACATCAATCAGCCGTGCCGGCAGCTGTTTACAAAAACGGACAGGCAGAATTAGATATCCCTGAAAGCCAGACAGTTCTCTTGTCACCTTAAATACTCTCATATTCTCTCAATCCATTTTTCCAGCGGTCTTAGGAACAGAAGTAATTTTTTTTTTTAACAGCTACACAGGGCTAAGGGAGCAGTGAGAGCTGTACACAGCCATGAGCACACAGCGTACAAGAGGTAAACAAACAAGATTTACCACCACATTTGCTTTCAAGCAATCTGGAGTAGCAGAACGTATCCAATCCCCCACATCATAACATTTCCAAAGCATGCATAAAGACAGAAACCCTCTCCTCTTGACGACCCCAAACCATAGCTCAGAGCAGGAAATGCAGCAAAGTGTGAGCATGCGGTCCCGATTCCCCTTGTTGGGGCTAAAAGATCATCCAAATGGGAATTGCTTTCCTAATCTGGAAGTTATGAAACCTACAGATGTATGTGAGGAAGCCAAGAGGGCAATCAGGAGTCCAGTCACTTGGGGAAGCTTTCCTAAAGCCAGTCTCTGCTACGTGGGGCTGCCTGTCACAGCACAAAGAACCAGAGGTAACGTGCCTTTACAGCGCAGCCTGCGGCGGTATTGACCTGGTTTGTGTCAACACAAACAAGGGTCAGCAAGTAATAGTGCTAACTGGTAAAAGTTTAAGTACAAAGTCTAACCTGGGCTGTTATCAGGCATTAAAGCTATTTCATATATTAAAAAATGCATTTAAGGACACCTTAAAAGGTTGGATTTCTCACGTTCAGTCTGCTGAATCAATGAAAACAAACAGTAGGACTAATGCTCTGAGTAAATGGCTCCTTGAGGACCATATGTATTTTTTCCTCATATACAGCCACTTATCCAAGCCATTCAGACAGCTTAGCACAGTTCAGCAATCCTCAAATTTACACTAAATATTATTGAAGTCAACGGAAAAATAGAATCTATTCACATCTCCCGCTCCAACGATGTTTCAGGAATGGAAGAAATATCTTAAGATGACATCCTTTGAAATAATGTCCATGATCAGACATTTGCATGAGAACAGCCTTAAGCAGAGCTGAAGCTGAAAACTGCTGGAAAGGAAGAGGCCAGTAAAGGTTTGCAAACCATTTCTTTGCAGTTGGTCTAACCTAGCAATTAGTCCCACACCGAACACATCTGTTTGATCACAAAAACCCCAGCAGGTTTCACTGCTCACTGCTGGACAACCCAGCACCTTTGTATGCAGAAACCAGCACATAACAACACAGTGAAGCTCCAGCTCACACCTACCAACCCACTCTTTCCCCAAACACCAAACTGAACAAGCAGCAACCTCCTGCTCAAATAGAGCCAACGCCAGAGAAAAAAGTGGGTTGTGGCATATGTTCAGACAACAGCCGTGTTTGCAAGCCAGAGGCTCCACATGAAAGCAGCTCCTCCTGTGCTCCAGCATGCTTTTCGGCACAAGAAGCAGGCAGTATTTTTAGCCCTTTTCTTACATAGCCTTGTATCAAGCAGAAAAGAAATGTTTTCAAAATGAAGTGCTGAGATGAAGCTTTGCATATCTCCTCAGTACTCAAGCGTATCTATAGAAGAAAGAATCAACCTGCAGGGCTATCTGTCTCAACAGAAATACTAGGAGAGAAAGAGATGGCAAACAGTGAGCTCTTTGCATCTAAGCAGCAGCAGGTACCACAGTGCAGACATATTTCTTGTCACAGTGTACATTAGATTTGTAATAGCAGAAAACATCCGTTCTAACATTTCTTCGTCCCAAAGACCAGAAACAAATTTTTTATTTTACAACCATAAGAACTCAAACAACTCATTACATTTACCAGAATTACCCAGTAAATTATTCATTGGCTGCAGTCAACATTAAATGCTTCAGAGATTTAAGAAGAATAGTCTTAGTATACGAAGTTTCCTTCAAGCTTGGATCAACTTGCATCCACACTGTTTTTCCTTAAAATCCACGTGCAAGGCAAAGCAAATGGAACGTGACAGCCACTCAGCTGCTGTGCTGGACTCATGGAAAGAAGCAGAGGGAATACTGCCCCTATACACTGCTTGAACTCAGAAAGCAAGGGACATCTTGCCCACGTGTTCCTGGTACGCTGCACACAGGCCCCAGCACAATTCCATGAAGTACCCTCCCCAAACTAGCATGGAACAAGACTAACTACAGAATTAGATTGCTAATCCCCAGAGTTCAAGAACTAAGAAAAGAATTGCTCCATGTTACTATTATTAATGCCCAGGAGCCCAGTGCTATGCAAGACTCAACAGCACAGGAAATCTTGCAAAGAAATTCTATACACACCAAGTTGCATCAATTTCTGCCCTCAAAAAAGACAAGTGCCAAAATAGATGGATTTGAGAAGTGAATTCACAAGACTGAATAATCATACCCAGCTTACCTCCATCATCAAGGGGCCGTTTCTGCACTCCATAACCGTAAACTGACGGGTCCACGAGTGTTGTAGAATTATTCAAATGAGGAATATCTCCAATCTTAGCAGCAATCTATAAAAACAGATGATAAAAACTTGGTTAGCATATTTACAGTTTCAGCCACCGCAGCTAAACATTCCTTCTTCAAACAAAGCATTTATCCCCGTCCAACAATCTCTTGTCTGCTATTTTTTCTACATAGATGACTTTATAAAAGTCCTAGGAAAGCAGTGCTTTATTTGTAAAGTAAACAGGCTTCCACCTGCTTTTGATATTTGTGTAATTAAGATCGCATTCACCCAGCTCCTCTTCCTGGTCATGAGTATGCATTTACTCCCTATAATATTACATTCAGATTTGTTCATTCATTCAGCAGACAGCCGACAAGTTAAATCTAGTCCCCCAGCTTCGTCCTGGAGAAGCTGCCACCATCATAGCAGTGTAGGAAGACATACATTTCTGCTGCATTCATGCGTATCCAGATACACAGAAATGCATAGTTGCACATCAGTGGGGGGTGAGAGGAGTGGAGGGAGAAGAATGTGCAAATACACAGCACAAGGACAGGTTTGGGGACTCGTTGTCAAAGGGACTGGATCAGAATGTGTTTACTGTATGAAGAATAAGCCAGTGGGCAAACTATCAGTCCAGAGTAAGTTTCTATTTCCTGCAGTATGAGCACAGCTAAGGTTGCCTGTGCTTCTGCTTCCAGCCCTTGGAGGAGTAACAGCCATTCTGGGGTGAGCTGGGAGGCAAGGAGGATACTTTGAGGGAGAAGGAGACGTTCAGGTATCACAGGAAGCAAATAAAATAGGCGAAAGACACTCTGAGGCATCACTTAACACAAGTGAATTGTTAAGCATTTGGGAGACAATCATATGGACTGATGTGACAGAGGTGAGCTCTTTGACCTGTTCTCCAGGTTAACCAATGTAAGCCAAGTCTGAGAGCCAACCACCTTTAGTAGTTTGACTACTAAATACACTCTTCAGGGACGGGCAAACCACGGCCCCACAGCACACCTTGCCCGCATGAAGTACCCTGTTATTGTGCAGAATACAGCTGCAGAACAAACGCGCTGTGTGTTGTACAGTACTCTCTTCCTTTTCCAGCAAAAAGAAAGGATCTTTGCTAGAAGTATAATCTTGCTATATTACGCCTAGCGTATCACCAGAGAAGCAGCAAAAGGAAAGAATGAAAAAAGAGCACTTTACAAAGATAGGCTTTAAACGAAGGCAAGGGCAAACGACAAGTATAACTAAAGGTGTCTCTAAAATTAAGTTTTACTGCAACAAAAAGACATCTACAGTAATTCTGGCTGTTGACACTATCAACTGCTGCAGTGGAATAAACAACCGCACAAGATGCAGAACCACAGGGTAGTGAAAAATGCTACATGAAATAACCTTGGAAGATTGAGGGCACTGCTTTTAGAAAGAACAGAAAATATTCTTGATGCCTTGTGTGGAAAGGGCTCCAAGTTTTGACCATTTTCTTGCATTCTGACCACTCCTTCCCAATCTCCTTTAGAAAGGCAACTACTTGGTTTTAATCAAGTGCCAGGAGCTAGAGAATAAATCCTTCCTACTTTAACAGGATTTTAACTCGTTTTGGATGAGCAACTGGAAACGTAACACTAGACCATTATACCCACAGTGTGGTTGATCTAGACCCCAAAGAGGAAGTGCTGCTCAGCCATAACCTAGCACAGGGACCAGCCGCACAGGGCACATTGCACATCAACATCTCCAAGAACCAGTAAGCTCAGAGAAATATACTTCTGAAGGCATGAACACAGACAAGTCCTTGTCCATTCTGCACAAGGAAGCATGAAGAGATGCCCTGCTCTTCTGTTGGATGCTGTACTGCATTCATGCTTCCAGCCCCCGACTCACTTGCTTCCCCCTTGGTTGGGATGCAGAAGACTTTAATGAAGGTACAAAGAACATAAATACTTCCTGACTACTTCAGTGCTGAAAAGGAGATAAAAAAATGTTTTACAATAATCCATTGACAGCTTTAACATCATAGCTTACAATCAAAACTTATGCCACTGAGCTGTAGTCAAGTATAACGTACCCCGGCAGAACATTTGATTTTAAAGTGCCCTTTGTGAAATCTTTGTGGAAAATAAAAATGTAATACAGAAACTGCTAGCTGATAGTTTGGAACTGAAATCACACACCACACCTGCACAGGGAAGAAGACACTGGCCTATAAAAGGAAGATAGCATAAAGCACAGAGGTGTGAAGGAGCAGATCCCCATACCAGAACTGCCAACTCCTAGAGCAGGAGAGCATTGCAAATCCCTCCTTGTGCTTCACACACAGCCATTGCCCCAGCACATGAGCCACAAACCTAGGGCCAAACAGAGAGTCAAAGCAATTCTCACACTATCAGCTTTTGGGATATTCTTTTTTTTTTTTCTCTCCTTTCCTCCTTTACTGAAACTCACACCCTTATCTCCAAAGCCTCCCAGCTGCCTGGGATTACATGCAGACAACACGCCATCTCACCACAGTAGGGAAAACACCCTGCAAAATTAAGAGTTAAGCTTTTAAAGTAGATATAACAGTTAAAATACATTTTAACTTCTCGTGTTCAACTTACAATGGGAACCTCAGTTTTTACTACAGGTTCAGCAGCAAGATAAGCACTAAAGTTAGAACACAGCAAAAGTAAGCAGACCTAGCCCTTATCTGCCTACATGACCTTGAGTAATGTACTGCTAGCTGCTGCTCCACTGCGTTTGCCCCTCTGCATGTCAGTGGCTTTTTTTTTTTTTTTTTAAACCCAGCACATCCATTTTGCTGAGACTAGAAAGGGATACACACATACAGCCCACTGACTCACAGTAAGCTTCAGGCCACTTCATCCATGTTACCATGTTATCCAAGGTACCCAAGACTGGCCACTGCAGGCTGCTAAGCCACAGTTCTTTCTTCATCATTCCTGAAGACTCAGATTCAGGGTATATATGGCAGGTTACAAGAATTCTACATGTATCTAAATTGAGGGAATCACTAATGTATACCTTGTACAGAAAATGAGACTGCCAAGAAGGAGAGAAGATAAGAATTAAACAAGATGCTGTTCTGTCAATGAGAGCTAAACCCAAGGACAGTCCAACAGAAACCAATTTTTATCCAAAGTACTGGCAACTGTGCTTTTTTTGTGTGGTCCCATTACTGGAGAAGGGAACAAACATCCTTTCCCACTCTCCCAACCCCAGAACATCTCAGAATAAAAGCTACCACGCTTGGGAGCAGCTGCCCTCAGGTACAGATCAATCACCACCTACAACCCATAAACTAACCCACTCACTCAAGATGTGATGTGGAAAATGCAGAATAGCCTGTCTCAAAGCTCTAGCATTCACTTGAGAAAGTATTCTACGGTACATCTCAAATATTTAGAAGTACGCACAAAAAAAATCCAATCAAGTCCAGCATAAGCACAGGAAGCAACACAGCAGTCATTTCTTCCAGAAATACTACAGCTGTCTCACTGTCATATCAGCTCACACCCCAGTGTCACTGAAGATCGCAGTTACTGTGATTGATCAGGAAAGTCTTCTCTGTCCTGAATTATTTAGTTATTACTAACTAAGCACAGTGTACTGCAGCTCAAGTTTACTTTAATGGCTCTCTTGAATTTAGTAGATTTGATTACTAGTCTTAAGTGCAAGCTTAAGCTGAAATAGTTCAAATATCAGATCAGAGATGCCAGTCCAACCCAGGAAGCAAGAGCTACAACCAAAATGTTTTCCCTCTGCTCCCTCCCTTCTTAGAGCAAAAGTAATATTCTGAAAAGCTACGACACTGGCCAGAAGCAATACACAAGCTGACATCCACAAAATGGACCATCAGGCAACCTGCTGCACTGAACACAGTGAAAGCTCTGCCATCACCTCCAGAGAAATGTCAGTTGCAACTGCCTCTGCATCACACCTGATTCCCAGCCAGGAAGCGTCACTGCAGATTGCTAAGGCAGTAAGGGAAACAGCTGTCTGCAGAGCGCTTGCCAACAATGTTTTTCATCCTACAAATGCTAACAAAACAAAACAGCATTCACCAGGTAGCATACAACACACTGCTCAAGAACACAGGCCACTGCATTCCCAAGAACACATGCAGGGAGCATTTTTCTCAACAGGCTTGTGTCCAGCATGAAAGGTAGCTGCTGCTCTGCAGCGCCTGATCTGAAGTTGACAGCTTTGAGGATTTTTAAGCATTTCAGATCAGATTAGGCTAATTTTGGTTGGATGCTACTGGAAATCTAAAATATTCTTTCAAGTATAATAAACTTAAGAACAGCAAAATCAGAGTAAACAAAATATCAAAGAATTCTTTATCTTCTCCATGCATCAACACGAGGCACCCAAACCTACAAACATGACAACAGCAGCCACACAACACAGATGTGACTCAGTTTTCAGTTAGCCTTGCTTTAGCCTAACACAGCCCAAGACATCCCACTTTCACACTTCACCTTTACTGATTATACAGGTGCTACATACCATGGTACTTCCAACACAGATCAGCAACTAACTTATGATTTTCTTGTGCACAGACAAGTTACTGACAGATTATTCAACTGCTAGCAAGCAATTATATTATCAAAATTCAATGACGTTTATGCAACAAGAGGCCTTCAGTTACGGATGACCAGGTCAAGACAAGCACACCTCTCAAATTAACTGCACCAAGCTAAGGCAATAGAAAAGCTTTCAGACACCACACTCTGTCAAGGCCATGACGCTGTGTTAGCCACTGAAAGAAGGAACACGCTTGGCATCACCTGGGAGGCAGCTACCACAACTCGCCTACTGCAATACTTCTTTTAAGAAGCAAATGAACAGATGAAGGGCAAACTGGCTTGGGAGTTCTTCTGGGAAGGTGCAGGGTGTTCCTCTGGAACAGCAAGCGCCTCTGTATGCTTTGCTGCAGACTGTGCAGAACAGGATTTGCAGCCACACTGATTCACAAGTGAGCCACGAGTGATGGTAAGCCACTCAAGTCCCTCCAGAGCAACTGCCTGAAAGATCCTAAGGTCCACATTAGTTTCTTCAAAGTTTCTCATTTAAGTGAAAAAAGCAGGTCTGTGAAACAGGAGATAATTGCCACCTGGCCTGCAACATCAGAAAAAGTCAAGTCAGTCTTCCAGCACCAGGCCCAGCATTTGGCTGCATCACACTTTGCTACAGTGTGCTTACTGAGCGCAGGTGGAGCGTCAGAGCTAGGACATTCCCTGTGAGGGAAACGGAGCACAAACCACAGCAAATCCTCAGGACAGCCATGCAGCAGAGCTACAGCTACTCATCCCCACAGCTCCTTTCCATGAAGCGAGGCACAGACGGGCAGCAGGCATCCCACCTTGGGCACAGAGGTGGCGATGGCCGCAGGTCCACAGTTGCCATCTGCACGCTGCGTGAGCCCAGCGATCGCCGGGGGAGCAGCTCACACCCCGCCCTCTCCATTCCAAGAGGGAAAGCACGGTTCCCCCACACCGGGGCTGCTGCCGAGCCTAGAGCCTAACGAAGGCCTCACTTACAGACGGACCGCACGTTCCAGGCAGCTCCCAGGGCCGCGACCCCCCGCCGCAGCGCCCCGAGTCCCCAGCGCCGAGGGGGGCCGCCGGGCGCGGCTCCAGAGCAGCGCTGTGAGGAGCGCTCGGCGGGGCGGCGCCCCGCGGCCTCCTCCCGCCCCCCGGCCCTGCCCTGCCCGGCGCTCACCTGCCGGACCCGGTGCAGAGCATCGACGAAGCCCTCGGGCTTGATCCCCACAGGCGCCGCGCTCTGCCCCTGCGCCAGCTCCGCCATGACACGCGCCCCGCGCCCGCCCGTTGACGCCGCCGCCGCGCCGTCCCGCCGCTCCGCCCGGGGACCCGCACCCGGAAAGGGAAAGAGCCCCCCACTTCCGCCGGAAGTGGGCCGGGGGGGCGGGGCGCAGGGCGGGCCTGTTGGGGGGGGCGGTGGGAGAGGGGGTGCGGCCGGGCCTGGTGCCGGGCCTGGGGGCGGCGGGGGCTGAGCTGCGCGTTCGGGCGGCTGCACGCCTGCACCTGGGGAGCGGGTCGGGCCGGGCCCAGCGCTGTGCGTGCAGCCCCTCCCGGCTCGGGCTGCTCAGAGCCCAGCCTGCAGCCATGGGCACCTCCTGGTTTGGGGCGCCCACAGCAGCGCAGGGCCTCGCTGCCCTCTGAGCAAACAATTCCTTCTTTATGTCTATCTAACCTAAAACTACTTTTTAATTTAAAACCATTATCCCTTGTCACGTTCCCTGCTGACGGGTCCCTCCCTGCTTTCCTGTGGGCACTGCAGTGAGGTCTCACAGAGCCTTCTCCAGGCTGCACGCCCCCAGCACTCCGCTGTCTCCATGCAGAGGTGCTGCAGCCTCTGTGCATTCTCTTGCCCTACCCTGGACCCGCTCCAGGAGACCCAAAGCCAGGCTGGATGTGGCTCTGGGCAGCCTGGTCTGCTGGTTGGTGACCCTGCACATAGCAGGGGGTTGAAACTGGAAGATCATTGTGCTCCTTTTCAACCTAGGCTATTCTATGATTCTATGACTCTTATCATCCATGTCTGTGGCCCCCAGAGGTGAACCCGGCTCTTAAAGCACCCATCTCAACCCAGAGCCGGTTTTCCAAAGCTGCTGGATCAGAGTGTTAAATTCAACAGTGAAATCGTGATCCAAATGTTGAAAGTTCTCATTGCTCTCCCCGGCTGTGTGCTGTGTGAATACCAACATTTCCTTTTCTCACATCATTGCAGATCTCAACCCTAAGCAAAAAAAACCTGTTTATATGGGGATTAGGAACGTGGCTTGACAACGGAAGGATTTATAAAAACCATGTGCTTGCATCTGCATCAGCAACATCTTTTACCTGTGTTCTAGTGCTTAGCGACCCTACCCTGCAAGTTGGAGTCTGATGACCTTTAAAGTCCCAACCTACACCACTCTGTGATTCTATGAAATGATTCTATGATCAAGGCAATTTCTGCAGCCATGGTAGAGAGCATTGAGATCTTCATTTCTCACTTTCTCGTCTCGCTGTTTTCCTGTGGCAGGGATGCTTCAGGTGCCAGCTGCTTGGCAAAAGGTGTTTTGGTTGACCCTGGGGAACACGAGAAAGATGTAAATCTCTGCAGGCGGAGGGAGGAAGATTGAGCCTGGCAAAGCAGTAACAAGACATCAGGCAGCAATTGAAAAGGAGGAAATTACAGGCCTTAAACACTTCCAGAAACAAATTTCTGATGTAAATCTTCCTTTTGAAGGAAAAAAAAAAAAAGCAAAAGAAAGGAGTGATTCTATGCCTCCATCACCCTTCTCCCCCCACTGTCCCCACTCCAGAGACACACACACCTTCACACACACACGCACTGAAATTAGTTGTGACAGCTGAAATTCTCTTCTCGTTGGACGATGTTTGACAGAGTACTTAAAAAAAGAGAGGAAAAAAAAAAAAAGGAAGAAAAGGGAAAGTGGTTTGGTGTCGCGTGGGGGAGGCAGAGGGGGGTGATGGGGTGGGGGATTTCAAGTGATACAAGGCGCATAATTCAGGCTTCTTGGATTGCAAAAGCCCCTCTTACCTAAAGGGCCTGCTGCCTTTATTTTTATCCAAATGGCTCAATTACTGCAAAGCCCCACAGAGAAAATTATGGATGTTTGCCTCTATTTTTCTCCCCTTGTCTCGACAACTGTAGATATTTTGTTTTGCTTCTTTCCATCTCTTTTTTTTTTTTTTTTTCCTTTTGGTGCTGATGGGTGCGGGGGCTGGAGGGGGCCGGGGACAGGGATGGGAATGGATGTAAGACACAGGGGATGGGGCATGGCATGTGGTGGCCCTGCCACTGTTGCACCACCTGTTCCTGTCTCCATTTCCCATCTTGCACACTGCACCTTTTGCTCCTTGCATCCCCCTCGTCCTCTCCCTCACTCTCACCTTTCCCTGAGTCCTCTCCCCCTTCCCTCTCCCTTCCTTCCTTCCCCCGAGTGCCCCCTCCCTGTGCCTCTCAAAGCCACCATAATAGCAGCTTGTTTGGCACTTCACTTGGTCTCAATGAGAAAATTCCCCCCTCTCCCTCTTTTTGCCTTCGTTATTTCCAAACCCTGCAATAGCTCCTTTGCTCGGGGCTGCAGGAAGTGCCCATTTTTCAACATTTTTCTTTGGCTTATGTTTGTCATCCTCTGAATTACCGCACCGGGGAGTCCAGTCAGCCCGACACTGGGCCCTGCTATTCACGCCTCTCCTGCTCCTTGAGATCATAGAGGGAGAAATTAGTGATTTATTTCCAGCACCGCCGCGGTGCCCTTTCCAGCAGAAGTGTTTGTTTTGATTGCTGGCTGCAGAGCCAGGGAGGAGCCAGGATGGAAGAGGGTCCCCAGCACAGTGAGGCTCTGCACGTCCAGGCCACTTTGTCCCATGGGGATACCTTGTTGTCCCCAGGACAGTTGGACTGTAGTATGACAGATCCAACATGGTGCTGGGGACGCTGTGCTGTCCATGTTTCTGTCCTCAGGTCAGATGTGTCATGGATCCCACGTGGGGAGCATCTCACCCCAAGCTCATCCTGACCACAACAACCTGGGAGAGCAGGGAGAGGCTGTGCAGCTTGGGAGGGAAAATCCTGCTCCAGCACAGCCCGTGGTCAAGGAGGTCCCATCCCCCCTTGCTGGGTGCTGCTGCTTGGGTTTCGTGCACCAAGGGTAGGGCAGCAGCAGTGGTCCGTATCAACGTCATGTTGTCCCAACCCAGTATAAGGAACCCAACAAAGCAAGGATGTTCCCTGCTGTAGGAAGGCTGAGATGCAGTGGGTTGCACTGCTGGCACCAGTGGAGGTCCATGGTCAGCTGGACAGGGTGCCACCAGCCTTGATGTGAAAGACATGACACATAGTGGCATCAGGACAAGGGCCTGGCTGGGCAGGGAGCTGCAGCTTTAAAGCAAGAAGAGGAGCAGCAGGAAGAAGAAAAATTGGCCCAGTAGGTAGACCTGCTATTTAAGTGCAGTGAAGAAGCAAGCACACAGAATTACAGGAGAAATGATAGTGCCCTGACAGCTGCCATTTCCCACCACAAGTCTCCCCTAATGGAGTACTAATGTAGTGGTGGGCTCCTCGCTGACAGCCCAGCCCCAGACAGGGCTTGTCTTTGTGCTGGTGACAGATGGGACAGTCCGGCAACAAACCTGTAATCCTCTGATTTTTGCCGCCTCTGTTTAACCCCTTCTTCCCCTGGCACGGCTCACTGCCCAGGTGTGCATGGAAACCTCCTGCCCCACTGCAGGGCGCTGGGTCCTTGTGCTCCAAAGCATGGATATGGGGAGCGGATGGCAACCTGTGGGTCCCTCCCCCATCGCTTGGTGGCTGTGGGCAGGTGGCAGAGCTCAGCATTGGGACTAAACCAACACTGCAGCGTGGCTCCCTGTGAGGAAAGTAAAAAGGCAGAGCCTCTGCTGGCTGCATTCCCTGTGCTGCACTGCCTGTGTGACATTTATGTGTGATTCACGCAGGTGAATCAGTGCAGGTGTGCTCATCAGCGGGGCTCTGGGCTGCCTGCCCAGCGCGGTGGCTGTGGGCTGTGCCACCAGCCACAGGGGATGGCAGTGTGAAAATCTGCCAAAGTTTTCTGGCAGGAAAAGAAATACTGCTCTGGGAGCATATTGAGATGTGCTGAGGGTTAGCAGGATGGATGGATGGATGGAGGATGCTGCGGCACAGGGGATGCAGGCAGAGGCATACTCTCTCCCATGGGGATGCAAGGGGAGAGATGAAACACCTGCCGATGTGTTTTCCACATATTTCACAATGATAGACCCAAAGCATCCCTGGGGAGGGATTTTTGGATGCTCCATTAGGCAAAGGGTCAATCCCCTCCACCTCAACCCCATCACAGAGCATCTCCAGCAAGCAGCATCATTGCCCCAGGGCAAAAGCTCCCCATCCTGACTCCCCCAATGAGCCCCCATCCCACACCCCTCCCCATAGGGCTGGTCCCATGGACGATAGGGTTCCGAACACCCCTTGCCCAGTGCTGTGGCAGCATCCCACTCTCCCAGCAGGAGAGCAGCAGCAGTGTGCGCAGGTACTCAGCACAATTAGCCAACAAGTGGCTGTTTTGTGAGGGATTGTTGCTGATGTGTTTTAAGTGGCTTTCTGAGTGGAAAATGTTAGGCGTTGGAGAGGATGGCAGACAAAGGGGGGGATGCATTAGGTTTTATTGGTCTGGTTTGCACACATCTGACATCACTCTATTAAGCAAGTTCTGCCCAGCTTTAGGGGAAAATGAAAGATAAAGCAAGAAAAAAGGGGCTGAGGACATGGGGCGGGGGGAGCGCCAAGGATTCAAACAGGCAAGTGGGGGCTTAATAGCAGGAGACACTGCAGCAAACTGTGTCAACCAGATGGGACCCGGGTGCTGCAGGAGGAGAGGGGAATTAGCCAACCCGTGCTTTGTTCCAGCAGAAAGCACGGCCCTCTCCCCCCAGGAGCTGCCTACGTGTGATATAATACAGCCCCTTTCAGCTGCTAAGCTGGCCAAGGACAAAAGTCACCGATAAATAGTGAGAGGGAGATGCTGAAAGCAAAAGGCAGAGCTGCTGAGGGCCATGCATGCTTGTTGGGCTGCCCAGCATGTGAGCATCATGGGGACCTGTGCCAGGCACATGGTGGCGGGGATGGGGGTGACACCACGGATGGTGCTGGCAGGGCAGCAGGGCATGGGGGCACACTGCTAGCCCTGTTTTCTCAGCCCTGATCCCCATAATGCTAACAGGGATGGAAGAGTCCCCTTGGGAATAGGCTGGAGGGTGAAGTCCCAGCCTTCTCCCAACCTACTGCTTGGGGATGTTCAGCCAGTGTGATCATCCACGAGGCA